ATGTGCATTGTCTAGGTTAATGATATTGGCCGTTCGATGGTGGTCCACTGTTTCGGTGCATACTTTGGTTTAGCCGTAGCAAAAGTGTTCAACAAAAAGGAAATGGTCGGGCATCAGCATGAAGGCGCCAGCTACAATTCCGATATCTTTGCCATGATCGGTTTGGTTCTTTTCCTTTTAAAAGTGAACGCGCAGACATCAAAATTTTTGAAGATTGATCTTCATGATTTTCTTCATCAGATTTCGAAGATACTTCATCATTTTCTCTTTATCCTTTAATTGATTGTAATTGAAGAAGTATGTGCCCACGGTTATTTTGGAATGTGTTTTATGCTGGGGTGATTTATCGAGAACGGGTGGATGCAAGTTGTATTTCAGGCACGCTCTTCCTCTGGGCCTTCTTCCCATCGTTCAATTCGGCCTTAGCAATTCCAGAAGATTCGCGACATCGTGCTATCCTGAACACCTATCTGGCATTGTGCTCCTCCACCATATGCACCTTTCTGATTAGTCAACTCTTGGATCACGATCATAAGGTTCGCCTTTTCATTCACAGACTTATTATTTCTTAAGCGCTGGAAGTTAGCTGACAGCATTCAGGGTATTTCGCCATCGCTTTCGAACAGCGTAAAATTTTTCTTTTTAGCACTGTGGCTCCTGAAAACAGGAGGGCACGGCTCAAACTGAGGAGTGAAAGTAACACGGGTTTCACCCGTTCACGCACGCTTAATTACAATAGACAATTTTTATTAGTCATTCTCAGTATGGTTGTTTTAAAACGATGTACGTACAGAAAGAAAACGATTGCCATGATATGCTTGTGTTGCTAATGAAGTAAGCTCCCCATTACACGACAGTTGGAAGCGTATAGACCGATCTCTAAAGAAACTGTCTTGCATTTGCAGTACCGCTTCTCGATGGCTCATGTGTCGAACTCAGTTTTGGCCGGTGGTGTTGCAATCGGAACAGTCGCGAACATTGTTCTGGAACCAATTTATGCACTTCTGATCGGATGCCTGGCAGCTATTGTCTCGGTTATTGGAAACAACTACATCAAGGTGGCTCATTTTTTCGGTTTATTTTTCAAGAATTCAACTATAGAAATGGCCAAGGATACTTTCTGAACAAATGGAGGGTTAGTTAAACTGCAAAGAAAAGAGCTTTCCATTTTAAAGGGGCTTCCGAATCAGACACCAAACGCTCGTTTGTCATATCAACCATTCGGAAAATATGAAATTTTTTCGTATTTTGCTGTACACTTATAACTCTTCGTTGAAACTGGCAATGAAATTTGCTTACGAATGGCAAGTTATATTTAAGCTAAGAGATAAATATGCACAAGAAG